CTCCTGGTTTCCCCTTCCACTTACAGTCATCATTACGAACAAATGTCAAAAATTGCCTGATCAACATGAATACTAGGGTCTCAATAATTGTTTCATGATGGTTAAATTATTTTGTCTTTCGTACAACTACAAACGGAATATGTAGCGCTATCTATTGATAGATATTGATATTTAGATAAAAAGATAGTTCATTTTACACATTAATGTTTATCATCAAGGTAAAAATTAAAAATGAATGGTAATTTAACATATTTGAGTCACTTGTATTTGTAACTGTCAGAAATAAAAAAACAACAGCTGATACACGGAACAGGTGTGGTCATGATGTAGGTAGTAGTGGTGAAAATGGGATACATAAAATTATTTAATTTTTCCTTATTTTAAAAAAGGATAGACCATTGATAATGAAAAACAATTCGGATCCTAGTTCGGTTAAAAATTATTTTACATTTTTTTTTTTTAATAATATTCAGTTTAAAATGTTAACAAATATTTTATCCTGCCGATTTAGTGAAATCAACAAATTCTCGAATTTGGCGTAACATTTATACCAGTTCTGTATCTAATATAGGGATCATCTTCTGTTGTTTATGGTTTTATAATTCAGAGTCTATTACAACAACCAAAAACAAAACACATATTTTATTCTTTTGTATCTTATTCAGCGAGAAATAATCGTAGAATTGTAATTTTGTAATGAATTAATTATAATAGGTACTACAGTTGGTCCATAATGAATAAATAATAAATAATATACGTCCAGTAAGTCATTTACGAAGAATAATATTTATTAGTTAGATAATTTACTTAATACAATGATTTTATGTTTGAAAATGTGACAATATGAAACATTACAGTAAAAAATTATAATATTTATAACAAAAAAGTATGTTCGAAGAATACATTTTACTTTGTTGATATTTTTACAGCAGAGGTTACCTCCGAATGCTTATAATTATAAATTAGAGGTATTTTCATTTTTCTGGTTCTGTAAAAAATAAAAAATGAAATAATTAATAAAAATAAATAAATATAGGTATTTACACATGTAAAATAGGGTTTTTAAAAGTGTTATTTTACGAGAAAATTTAAAAAGAGCAATGGAATTTATAGAAGTATATTTAACAAATTGAATGAAAATAATACCGTTTAAATACGTTTTTCGAAACGTCATAGTTTTTTAAAAACGTTGAAATAATTGAAATAGTCAAATATTTTGAATAATATACAAGTAGGTATATCGTATAAAATGTGTGCTTACTTTGTTTATATATATCACATCATATAGAAATACGATTTTTCTATCGGCGAAGTAAAGTGACGTATGGGTTGTAAGTTATTGGGTAAGTGAGGGGGTAAGACGGGTAGGTGTAGACTGGTGCGTAAGGCCGGTAAATGAATTGAGCAGAAGCGACAGCGATTAAAGCCAAAGCGGCGACGATCAATAACTGAAAACAGAAAAATGTATTTAATTATTTTAAAATTAGAATTATATAATTTTTATAAAATAGGTAAAGTATTAGTACATTGTATTTAATTTTATATGTCATTATATGTCGGGTTCACACATATATTAATTTTGGAAATTTAGCTAGTTTTATTTTAAATAGTAGAAAACTCGAAAATAATAATAATATTTTTTATATTCAAAATTTATTTTTTTTATATAATAGGCCTAGAAATAAAAAATGTTAACAAAAAATGTAATCTTTAAAGACCCGCCAAGATTAGTATAAAGTATAATGTATGCACGATCGTTATACTTTAGATACAATTTCATACTTTTAAAACGGAAAAATAGAAACACAATTCATTCATTAATTAATTGTTAAGACACATTCAGAAAAAAAAATTTTTTTACGTTTTAATTTACGATAGTTTACATTGATTAAGTTGCCTAAAATACAATCAGTCGATTCGCCAAGTATTTTTCTACAGAAAATAATTGTATGTACATACATTATTTTTGTAAAATACACGAAATTTACGATTCGAAATGAGTACAAACATTTTCTGCTCCAAAATTTTGTTTCGAAATAAATTTATAAACTTGCTACCGTGGATTTTATGGGGACAAAAATGAAAAACTAAATACATTATTGAACCGAACAATAGTTATTGCATCTCCGTCATCGATTTATTAATGAAAATAATAATATAGACATTGATAGCAAAGAGATATGCTGTTTTAAAATTAGAAATAAAGTTAATTTTAAGTTATATTAATAACACTGTGTCTACATAAACTGTGAATATTTTGGTGGCGATTCGCGGTCGAAATGTTTAACAAAATAAGAAATAATTTGTATCTTTAAAAGAAAAAAAAAATTAGGAATTACATTTATCATATCGTACTCACCATTAACTTGTACATGATGATTTTTGAGTGTAAGTTGCGGAGAACTTGACGAAATAAATAGGCGTGTATATACGAGGTGTATGTGTCTCGATATGTTGACGATTACTGGTGTCGTCTCCGGAGATTTGATCGGTATTTATATCGTTTCGTTTAGTAACAGAAGACATTATTCGTTTGCCATCGTCCCACCTTAACGCCGTACGATTATAGGATTTTGGCGAATTTTTCTTTCGTCCCGTTCTCTATAAGGACACCGTAATTAGTCATGCTTTTTATTTTGCGTTTAGTAAACATTTTATTATTTTCCATGGTTTTTTTTTTTTTTATTTGTTTACTACCGAAAACCCGTTTTACAAAAAAAAACTTCAAAGCCACCGTTAAGGACAGAAGATGACTCCGAATCTTGCGTTATAAATATTGTTTTCGATAAACCGGTCGACATCTTCGTTAACAAACGCCTAGGCGCACAAGTATAAACGAGGAGGTTAATATTTATACTGACATTTTATAATGTCTGAGGAAACTGGAGAACCCTGACCGACGACATATAGTACGCCAAATTTATTGGGAAATCTTTTGTTCGCTGTGCAAATATAATCACTCATTTTAAATGTCAAGTGTTAAACACAGTCGTATGTGTTTGAAGAAGTTTTGCTCCCATCTCATTTTGGTCGCAGGGTACAACTACCCTATGCATATTTCAAAATTCGTCTTTCTGAAGTAAAAATAAAATGACATCATAAAAATATATTGTTATTGTTAACTATCATCTTATATNTTTTTTTTTTTTTTTTTTTTAATGCACCGACCTCATTCCCGGGATTTTTAAATAAAATCGAAATCCTAATAGTATTTCTGATTTAATTATTATGTTTCTGAAATAGTTTATTACAAATGCACGTGCAGTAAACGACCTCTACATTTTGATTAAGGTACCTACCTTGTTATAATAACAATATGCAAGTGGACCCTCATTGAATTGCTAAGTTAATAGGCAGGTACTCAGATAAAACCTCTGACGATAATTATATAGTCGAATTAAGACACACTAGGTATGTACTTAAACCCGACAAGTTATCAAACGTATTACTACATTCATTATAGATAGTATTTCAATTTACAACCAGCGATGTTGCCTACTATTTAGCGTTTTAATATTATTATAATTCATAATAATATTCATAATAATAGTCGCATAAAAATATAAAAATACAAGAAAAACAATAAAAAGAGCTGACAATTCATGATGGGTATATGGAAAGTTGGTAAGGTAGAATATTATATTAAAGGAAAGTCGTTTAATTTATATTCGTACCCAACACGACCATTAATAGATGTTAATAAAAAACGATTCTGAGCTAAATTCGGTGTTAAACGTATTTTGAAACTCCGTGATTTTTACGATTTTCAGAAAATTATTTTTTTGTTTTTACTCCCCTAGACGCGATTTGTGTCAAATCGTGAGAACATATTTTTAATGTTATTTATTTTTATTTTTAGGTGGGCACGTGATTTTATGTTAGTATACCGTCTCTATATAGTACCTGCACACACATATGTAAATATTTTTTATTATTTTAAAAATTAAGTCATTTTTGTTTGACGATTTTTTTTTTCTTGTTGATCACTTATTGCACATGCTAGTACAGCGAATCGTGCGTTTTTATGAATTATTGTTGATTTCCGATAAACCGTTTCAATCGTTTACAAAAATAACAATCGTAGGTACAACACGAAACACCGCGAAATACTCGACGTAAACACTATAAGTTATATTTTTATCAAACCGAACACCGACAATTTATATTGCTTTTTAATAGGAATTGGTACTCGAAAAAGACTGCACAAACCGGCAATGTAAAACATATTTTGCATACCATGTCGTAAAGTCGTAGAGCGTACAGTGTACATAGCTACATATATTATAATATTGAATATTCAGTAATATTGTACAAAAGTATAACGTAAGAGCCATAGAGAATCGCGTGACTTTATAATATTGAATAAGTAAACTGTTTTAAGTACCTACCAAGGTACCTCTCGAAAATCCATAACACTTTGCGCATTTATAACCTTAAAGCTCGGAAAAACATTGTGTAATATTTTTTTTGTCCGTTTAAACGAATATTCAAGCTGAATAATTTTGTAAGTATCTATTTACCTATAGTACCTACGTCCTACATATAAAAAAAACAAACCGCTATTGACTGTGTCCTACTGTGTTTTCGACTATAAACGGAGCGTCGAAAGTATCGGTTTTACCATTGATTATAAATTATTACTATTTGTAATCAGTGGTTTTAGTTAAATTTATTTGGAAGGATGTAGCTGAGTTTCTATTACATCGGTAGATACTGAAAGTATACAGACCTCTCGGAAAAATAAAAGTTTTAGTCTAAGATTAAGGTAATTTTACTTTCCACCGTGAATGGAATAATATTAAATAGCTCTGATAAATGGCAGGAAATAGATGAATTAAAATTGAGTGATTTAGATTACGAGGAATATGAAGATTGTGAACAAATATTAGTTTGCAATAACAAAAATAATAGGATTGATTTATTATTGGACGTATTAAGGGTAGATCATTTAAATGCAGAAGAAAAAGAATCTATATACGAAATTTGTTTTAAATACGCAGGTTTATTTTTTTTGGGAAGGTGATAAGTTGTTATTGACAAAATCAATTAAACATACAATACCAGTTCCAGAGGGAATTGCGCCGATAAATGTAAAACCTTATAGATTGCCCAGGGTGCAAAAAGAAGAAATAGAGAAGCAAATAAAAGAGTTGGAAGACAGTAAAATTATTGTAAAAAGTAGTTCCGCATGGAATGCGCCGTTATTAGTAGTACCAAAAAAAAGATGATGCATCTGGAATTAAAAATATAGAGTATGAGTAGATTTTAGAAAATTAAACGAAATAACAGTAGGGGATGTATTTCCATTACCTCAGATAACAGAAATTTTAGATGAACTAGGGAAATGTAAATATTTTACGACAATCGATCTAGCATCAGGCTATCATCAAATCGAATTAGACGAAAAAGACACAGAGAAAACAAGTGCTAAGTTCAATTTGACAGGGACAGGTTTGATATCGATAAGGGATGATTGTAGAGCATTTACATCAGACTCAGTACTCATACCAATTAAGCAATTGTCAACCGGTAGAACGGTAGACATAATACCACGGGCAAAGATATCAAACACAATAATACCTATGAAAGATCGTACTAAGTTGGAAGATCTTAAATTAGGAAATTTATCACAAAATGAATATAAAAATTTAATAGATGTAACACGGTCGTTAGACGAGGTAAATGATTTAATAGATATAGAAATTAGATATAAAGAAGGAGAAATTGTAAAAACGTTATATTATTGTTCATATTATATAATTGTGGTGGTAGCAATAATTTGTTTATGTTCATTGTATAAATATTGTAAAAATAATAATATACGTGTAATCGATAGACGAGAATTAGTACCGTTAAGCACTAGAATTTAAGTAAATGATAAATATTGTATGAAAAATTGTAAGGGCGAAAGATCATTCTTATTGAAAACATGATCCTTCGTCCGGTAGGGGAGGTGTTAAGACCACTCGGTCTAGGTGTAATAAAACGTAGTTATTAGTATTCTATTTGTATTCAGAAGACCTCAGTTACATTTTTATACATTATCAGTTGTGCCATAAATAATTAATTAATAGTGGAGTCTGTATTAAGGAATAGTAACAGAGATATATACTTAGAATAGTAATTGTCTTAATTAAAGGCTCGTTTTCGGTATATAGAGAGCACGCGAGTGACACTAGTCAACCAGTCGTAACCAAATGTGAGACAAGTACTTATGTATATGTCATATCTGTGCGAATAATAAACTTTAAGTCTAGAACAATTGTGTTTATTTTCTTAAATTGAAATCCAAATCCGTAAAACTCGTTCTAAGTCTACTCGGCTCATAACAATCGCCTCTCTTTTTGTATGATCGCATTTAATTGTACACATTTTGGAAAGCCAGGGGGGGGGAGGAGGCGCAAACGCACTACTTTGCCCCATCTCCGGGGGCGCTCTCCCAAAGTCGGCGGTCTAGTTGCGCTTATTTACCTACCGTAGATAACAGATTTTGTTTCGGCGCAGTGTTTTTCGTTCGTTGTAAACTTTCGGCGCACGCGCACACTACTCAGAACGCGTTATTGAAATTGTTGTCGTTGTTCAGAAATGTCGTTATCAGTTGATAACTTGTTTACAACACTAACGCTGGGACGGACCTATTGTTTCAACGTTATATTATTCAACGCTGCCTACCCGCGTGTTATATTCGTTTTTTTTTTATTGTTATGGTTCGTCGCGACGTTAACACCGCAATCGTAGAATTGGTGACGAAACGGCCGATCGTCGCACGGACGTCTGCGCGCGGTAGACTAACATTGCTCCCGTTGGTCGCACTGATTTTATCCGTCCGCCCGTCACGCGTGTTATCAACTACGACGATTAGCGAATACGGCGGAATTCCAACGAACGGCAACGCTATCGCGTAGAGGTACGCGTAATTGCGTACGTCATGCAAACTTTAGACCGCACGCGTACCTAATTATTACCTATTGTTACACATTGTTACTACCGTAACGCCGTAGTGACTCACCGCGTTATTGGGTTATCGCGTACGGAAGAGGAAGACCGCAAATTGCCCGCGATTCGGTGCACATTGCACCGGCCGATAGTCCGACACCGTCAGTCACTTGTGTCGTCTGTCGCGCGGCCGTCCGGTTTTGGTCTCTTTTTTTTTTTTCACTTTTCGACCGTTTTAATTGTTATTACTATTATTATAATTTTTTTTTTTCTTCAAACAAAACCGCACCTACGCGAATTTCCACCATGGTGAAGAAATTACTGGCGTTCACCGCTGAACTGGCAAAGTCTACCGCTCTGGTTTGCAACCGTAATTGTAAGTTTATTTTTTTCAAAACGAATTGGTACCCGTATTCTTGTTCGAATTTCCTAACGTATCCAACAACAAACGACAGATCCGTACAAACGTGGTTGAAGTGTGTGGCCTTTGTGTCCGAGAGAAAAAAATGTCAAAATATCGAAAAATGTTTAATAGATTTTTTTTTTTTTTTCTCTATGTACAGTCGTAGAAAACCCTCCATCGGTCAGATGTTCGATTTTTCCATTTTCAGTCCGTATGCACGCGTACATTTTTTTTTTTCACATTTCGTTATGAAATTATAATACATTTGTAGGTGTCTACTACTGTTTTTGAAAACATGGTTTTTTTTTTTTATCTAATACCTATATTATAGGTGCATTATGTACCTATGAGTGTAAATGTGAGAAGTGAATTATCGTATACATCATTACGTAGGTAATTCCAACTATTTCATGTTATTTGGTAGTCTAATTTAATGGTTGCACTGTGAAAATTATATAAAATGTGTAGGTACCTACCTACCATTAAAAATTTGAAAATTTGATATTAACTACAAACCTATAAAACAAATATGTCGTATTGAAAACTGTTCATTTCAGGAACAACCCTATTAAAATAGCCATTTTTAGGGCCACCAAATTTATGAATTCCTTACAAAGTATATAAAAAAAAATTCCACAATATTCATGAAATTCGGTCGGAAAGTCAAAAAAATATGATCGATGGATGTTTTTCTATGGCTGTATACAAACAAAAATTATACGAGACGTTTATCGATATTTTGACATTTTTTTTTCTCAGACCCAAAAATCATATTTTAACTATTTTTATGTATACGAGTAAACATTTTCAGAAATATTGCAGAAAATGATTTTATATAAATACATCATAAATTAGTTTCTTTTATTGAATTTTAGATAATATTGAATCATCTATTGGTTTTATACTTTTATAGTATATTATTTTCCATTAATAACCTTTAAAAACACAAAAGCAATGCACATGTCAGCAATCTAAATATTTGCTATGTACTCTAGCATTAATATTTAAATTATAATATTTCTCTAATAGTTTTTAAAATACATGAAATATTCCCTTTAAATGTGTAAACCAAAATAAGCAGGTTGGTACTTATCTTGAATCCAGTTCTTGTATCTCAATTATTGTTTTGATCTATATTATTTCTTAAATAAACACATATAAAATATATGGTGTATTCTTCGATGTCTACCTAGTTAGGTAGCTAATGAATTACCTAAACATAATAGAATTAATTATTTAGACAAGTAATACGATTGTGGCAATATTTTTTATGTAATTATTTACTGTTGAACATTAGACGAATATTACCTATCTGCCTACCTATCTAAAATACCAGGAACTAGGAAGTTATACTTACCATGGGCAATTGCTACATTGGTACATATTTTTCTAAAGTGTACATTATGACTATTGGCAAATAGGTCACTTGTTATCAGTCGGTTTTTGATTAAATTCAATTCACAATAGAATATCCACACTTGAAATAGTATAAGTATTTGTCTATATTTGTTTAAAAGTTAATACAGTAGTTCATAAAACCTAGTTAAAATAATATTTTTTTAACTAGGTACGAATTATCAAATATTCAAGTAAAATGTACTGAATTTTTTCTTTTAGTGTAATTATATTGAGAAATAATTTAAAATTTTAATTTCAACTAGGCACTGTAAGGCCTGGTATATGTGAGTTTCATCTCCGTAAATAGTGGACGTTTCGTTCCAACAATATTAACTGGTTGTAGGTAAAAATGTCTGATGAAAAATGCCCTGTTTGTGTTCTGTAGGTATAGCTAGAATTAATCCAAGGCGATAAGAATGGGTTTTACTTTAACATTTACAATGATATTTATAATTTCTACTGGTTTTACTTTTGATTAGATCCGATATTATGAAGTGTTGTACAATTTATACAATTTTCTTTTTACTTTGTGTACAAATGTCTATTGAGCTTCTGTATCTGTAATCAATATTGATAAATAATAATACGGTTTATTGCTTTACATTAACATCATTTTCTAATCAGTTGATTTGTAACATACCTAATATATTATCAACGTTAAAGTTTTCTTATTTTTTCAATTTTACGATGATGATTACTCATGATTTACCTAATCAAATCTAATAAAAATATATCAAAATTATTAAAATGGTTAATACTGATAAATAAATAAAGTAAATAAATATAGTGAATAAATATATAAATAAAAAATGTATATAAAAAAAATTAAATAAATAAATAGGCCACTACATCGCTTGGGGTAATATGATAAATATTATATGACCGGTTTCTAATTAAAAATTCATCATCAGGTATATCACAGTGAAACTGTAAAGCGTGACTGAATATATAAAATTAAATGAATATATAGAAAGAAAAAAAATGTTAAAAAATTGGTCGTTTTTCATAGAATCTAGAAAAAATGTATTTTAATAGGAGAGATTATTTAAAATTAGTTATTATTAGATATATTTAGAAATTTAAATTATTTGGTTATTATTTATTATCTATAATATATTGATATAAGATATCATTTTTAAAATTGGTTTGAACTATTAAAATTATTTTTCTTTATTTTATTGGGTATTTAATATTTCTTAGTCTGTATTAATATCAAAACTTATATTATAGTTGTTTTCTAAAACATGTTTAGCAAAATTTAAATTAGGGGCAGTCTTTTTAAATTTTATTTCAGAAATTTGATCTTTGCATCTTGTTTTAAAATGTCTATTTGTGCTATCTATATAAAACTTATTACAGTTAAATTTAAGTTTATATACACCAGCATTTTCATAAGAAGGGGGATTTTTGTAAAGTTTTAAGTTCTAATGTTTATATGTTTGATTATTATTAGTCTTAAAGTGTTTTTTTATATTATTCGTATTATTGTTCAGAATTTTAGCGAATTCTTTAGACATTATTTTGATATTTCATACTACAATAGTTAACGACATTATTTGGTGAGTTGTTTATTATTTTTTCTTTAAGACGTTTATGAATTTGTTTAATAGTATTTAAATTGAAATTATTTCTATGCTCTATATTATAGATAATATTGAGCTCGTGTTGATAATTATGTTTATTTAATGAAATACGTTCAAGCCTATAGACTATTGAATTGAAAACTATCATTTTTTAATTCTCACATAAGCAAAAACAAAATTGATGGCATTTAAATTATTAGGTTGTAATTATTTCACATCCCCCATATATCTTACAATTTCCTTCTAAATACCCCCCTGGTGTCTGTCTCCCTCGTTCTGCTAAACTAACCCCATTTTTGCATTGTTATTTTAATTATCTGTAAAATTGTGTAACTATTGTGTAATTTACTTTACTTTTTAATTGCACTTTTAATTGTCCATTTGTAGTAATAAATAAATCCATAGAAATGATGTAATTAAAAAATTATGTATAAAATCTAGTTTTAATTACTTAATTACAATTTTTTTTTTAATTTTTTTATAATTATTATTTGAAGATCCACATAATTAAGACACCTGCATAAATTTTCTTTTGATTATTTTCGGGAATTTAATTTTTTTTTTTAATTTACCTACCTAAAGTAATATGACAGCTACATAATAATTTCATTAATAACAAATACAATTTTTTGAAAATAATAATTCAATTGTACTTATAATTTATTATTTATAATGAAAGTTAAGTTAGTTTTATCTTAAAATTTTACAAATATGTTTATGCATATTACATTTTATATGTGTATGTATTTTAGATGCCTCAACAACAAAAAGAATTGTGGCCAAAAATCCTATTGTTGAAATGGATGGAGATGAAATGACTAGGATCATTTGGGAAAAAATAAAAGAGACACTAATTTTCCCCTATATAAAAGTTTGTTTGTTTTATTATTTGTAAATATTTCATGTTAATATTTGTTTTCTTATTTGTTTCATCTTATAGCTAGATTGTTTGTACTATGATCTTGGTCTGCCCCATAGAGATGCAACTGATGATCAAGTGACAATCGATGCTGCACAAGCTACATTACAGCATAATGTAGGCATTAAATGTGCCACCATAACACCTGATGAAGCTCGTGTTGAAGGTATATAAATGTAAAATTGAAACATGTTAGATTATTACTATTAATGTTTATTTTGTAGAATTTAAATTGAAAAAAATGTGGCTCAGTCCTAACGGCACTATACGTAATGTTCTTGGTGGTACTGTATTCAGAGAACCGATTATTTGTAAAACTATTCCAAGACTAGTGCCAGGTTGGACAAAACCTATTGTTATTGGCAGACATGCTCACGGTGATCAGTACAAAGCTACTGATTGCTTAATACCTAGGCCTGGACAGGTTTGTAATTTTTTATTATTATTAAAATTAATTTTTTTATGAACCGTAACTTATTGATTTGTTTGTTCATTAGTTGGAATTGGTGTTTACTGATCATAAAGGCCAAGTGGAGACACTCAAAGTGTTTGACTTTAAAAAACCGGGCGTTGCTATGGCCATGTATAATTTAGACGATTCAATAGCTTCATTTGCTCATTCTAGTTTTCAAGTATGTATACACAAAGTATTTTCAAAATATATTAATGTTATTATAATTATTTCTGTTATTTTAGGTAGCTTTATCAAAAAAATGGCCACTTTATTTATCTACAAAAAATACCATTCTTAAGAAGTATGATGGCAGATTTAAAGATATTTTCCAACAAATTTTTGAAGCGTAAGTAAAAAAATATACCTCATAAAAGGTATGAACTAATTATGATTAAGAAACTGTGTTTATCTGTAGAAATTATAAATCTCAATTTGATGCTGCCAAAATTTGGTATGAACATCGTTTAATTGATGACATGGTAGCACAAGCGATAAAAGGAGATGGTGGTTTTATTTGGGCATGTAAAAATTATGATGGAGATGTTATGTCTGATATTATTGCACAAGGATATGGTTAGTAGTTTTTTTTAATTTTTTATTTTGTTTTAACAATAATATTTATTTTCTAGGTTCTTTGGGACTGATGACTTCAGTTCTTGTATGTCCCGATGGTAAAACTATAGAATCTGAAGCTGCTCATGGAACTGTTACTAGACATTACAGGTATCTAATTAAATATGTGATGATTATAATATTATATGGTGTTTTATTGTAAATATAATTTTTAGACAACATCAACAAGGAAAACAAACTTCAACAAATCCAATTGCATCAATATATGCTTGGACTCGTGGTCTTCAACACAGAGCAAAACTTGATAATACTCCTGAACTTGCCAAGTACATTTTATTAATATTGATTATTTTAAATAATAATAAATTAATCCCATATTGTATAGATTCTGCAATACTCTGGAAGAAGTTTGTGTTCAAAGCGTTGACGCTGGCCACATGACCAAAGATCTTGCGGCTTGTATTCATGGTCTTAAAAATGTAAAAGAAGGAATGTATTTGAATACTAATGATTATTTGGAGAGCGTGAAAGAACATTTGGACATCAAATTAAAACAGTAAGCATACAGTTAGGGCAAGTCTAACTTGAAATAATATCATAAGGTATTATAATACGCATGCATAAAAATAATCAACACTATTATTCCCGTTTTAATTTAAATATATTATAACATACTAAATTCTCTAAAATTCAGTTGTCTAACCGAATAATTTTTCCTATGTGTAGGGATACTAAAAAACTGTTTGCATCAATTGGCGCAGTTTGAAGAGTGTGACTTATTGCTACAACTAATCATGTACCATTTGATATAATATACATGTTTATGCAAGATGACAACATTCATATTTACATATATTAATAGCAGATTAAATCAAAATCCACTCATTTTCTGTTTTAAACCTTTTTTAATTTTTATTTTCACGCACATTTATAAATACATATTTATTATAAAAAATTGTATATTTTTTTATAATAATTACAACTATTTAACTAGTTTATTAAATTAAATTAACTAAATTATTTACTAATGAGTTATTTGAATAACTTATAAAAAAACAAAATATCTATTATTCCATTTAATACACCTGCATTAATTTCTGTGATAAATTTTGCATTTAGTGATTTAAGTTTTTCTAATGCATAATTATACATTATGTTGTAAACGTATATTTTTCTATAATTTTTTACAAGGTAATTCACACGAAACAAAAAATACGTTCTTTGTGAATAATGTCTAACCAAGTCTTGCACTTAAAAATCACCTTTATTGCATAGTTACATGCTACTATTTTTATTAAAATATTATCCAAGTAACCTATTGGATGATGTATTTTTTTTATTAATATTTATCGTTGTCAGTTCAGTTCAGTTATGTTATTAATTGATTATTATTATATTTAAAAACGCTTACGTGACATTTTATTTGTTGATAACTGTTATTAATAGCAGTTCTGATTATTTAGTATTATAGCGTAATGTTCAATTTTGTTATTATACAATTTTACGAGTAATGATAAATAATTATGTATTGACCAAGATATACTCGATTATAAATTGTAGTTTTTTATCAATCAAATATTTATTTTTTTATAAAGATTTTAGTTTGCTGTCTGTGACTAGTACAGTATGTTAATATTTTTAGAATAATTAATACCACCGTTATAGTTATTTAAATGAATTGTATTTTTATATATCGTTGAAATTTATGTCTGAATGTTTGTAAATTATGTGATAATGATTGTTATTTGACTCAAAATATATTTGTTTATAAACAATTTAATAAATGTATTGTATTTATAAAAACCGTGATAACATTAAAAATAATGATCATTTTTCGTTTTGTTTTTAATATGTAGGTGGTTATTGAATAATTGGTTATAAATTATAATTATAATAGAATTTATACTATAAAGCAGTGGTTCCTATAATTTGTTTTAAACACGGCGCACTGTGTTCTTCACATAACTTTAGGTATCCCTAAATAATGCTACCGGTACCTTGGTTGGGAAGAAACTCTGCTTTAAAGGAATTTGTAAAAAGTGTCAAGTACATAAACAATTATTCCTTTTTACAAAATAATATTTTAAGTAAGAACTAATTTGTTAGCACAAAATGATTTTATTGTCTATTCGCTTCTGATGAAAAAACTAAATTCTCATAATAATAACAGACCATTTTGTGTTCTGTATCACTGGTCAGTTCAAATTCACATTTTATTACGGTTGCCCTAAACCTTAATAGTTTTTCAAAAAATCACTTGATAAAGAATTCCAAATAAATTTTTTTTTTTTTGTTTACCTAATTTGTAATTTGTTTTTTTGTGTAGTTGAAATATTAGTGAATGACTTCTGAGAATTAATTAGATTTATAAATTATTTAAATTTTCTGACGTACATTATATTATTGAATAATGACTTTTATTTTACGTGTTTTGAATAAATTTGTTTTATGTGTACATTAACACGGAAATATCTATTAATTATTTTTAGAGAACTGATTTCAGAAAAATCACATTAGTGACTAAAGTGATCAATGATCACCATATAGTTCGGATTTATATTATCTAAAAATTTACAAATATTCTCCTACATTCTCTTAAAAATTAGAAAAACGTTTAAAACTAATCAATGTACATAAATATATGCTTTATAATGTGTATTTTTTTTTATTATTATTATTATTCATCTAAATAACAGAGAAACATTTTTTTTTGCCCCCCCCTCCCTTCGTAAATACGCAACTGTCCGCAACTGAAAAAAAAAAAAATATTCAAAAATGAGTTGAACATAATTTTTTTCTCATTTTTAAAACAATTTCAATTCAAGAATGCATTAAAACTGAGTAAAATTGTTGAGCACGAGATAATATCTCTTATGTCATTCAGAATAACATATCCAGTTCTAAACTGGATCAAGTATAAATAGTATAATTATTATTATTGCAATTAATTCATATATCCATGTAATATTAATTAAAACAGTGGTAACATAAAGAACTAATTACATTTTATGCGCACAGGTAGTAGGTACCTATTCTGTACACCAAAAATCGTATGTACTTATGTACCCAATACTTGTATGTCTAATTTATTTGATATTTTATAGACGAAATATCTGTTGAATTTTTAAATCGGATCTCCCGTGGAAAGTCCCTTATTGAATTGTTACGGTCTAAGACTGAATAGTCTGCGAGATTTATACAAAAAGGTTGTCAGCATATTAATCATAATTAGTAGGTGCATTTCACCATGTCGAACAGGGAAATCGTAGACGGGTTTTTTTTTTTTCGTACCTAGTATTCATCTTTCCGTAAAACGTTAAACTAATTCGGAAGTTCACGATGACTGCTCCGTTGGATTTTTTTTTTTTATTTATGTGTAATTCTATATTATAAAACAGTAGGTCAGTAGGATGCAACCAAATCGATTTTACTTATTGAAATAGCGTAGATTGTTTTTTTTTTTTTTTACTTTACTCGCTGTCGTCTCCTCGGCCCTCTCGCTGTTTTTAATCCGAACGGTACTCGTAAAAGATTATTAGTGTCTACTACAATTTCGGTGTAATTCGGAGTCCCGTATATTTTATAACACCTCGCTCTAGAAATAACGTTTGTATGGGTGTGTTATGAGATAAAATGCGAACGTTGCGAATTATATTTACTAAATGAAACGAATCTCGAGCATTACAGTCATATGCCGTCTCCTCTACACACCGACGCCCGTCTACGTACAGATAAGAACCTAACCTAACCTCTGTGGCTCTATTCCGGTAGATAACAACCAACTCCAACGCAAACAAAAACGGCTCTGCGCGCTCGACGGCCACGGCGGTCTTTATTGCATTCCGCACTCGGAACGGATTGAGCCGCCGGCGATAAAACTCTGTACGGGTTAAACAGTGTTCAGAAATACACGCAGACACGGCCAATAAGATAAAGAGGAAGCGCCCCCCCCCACTCTCGAGACGTTGGCCCCCGCGGTCGGTGAGGTACGGTTTCGCCGCGGCGTCCGGGGACGGCCAAGGCCCTAGAATCTCTAGACTGAACGAACTGCGTGAATCGTCGAGAAATGAAAACACCGTGTCATTTTGATATTATTGCGGGTCGCCGAAATTCATAGCGCTTTCGAAACGGGTGGTAAAAAGTTCAGGAACCTGTGCCCTGGGTTGTGTATTTTGTGTGCTCACCGGTTTCCCTGCTAGCCGTCTACACGTCTGACGCCGTCTGACGTCCGGCGTCGGTACCGGTCCGGACCAGCGTTGTTGCCGCGTCCCGACGCTCGGCGTCTGCGTATCAGCAAATCGCGAATTCTCGTTTTCCACAACGGAGGACCGGGGAGGGGGTGGGGGTGGGGAGCTTTGATCGCGCTCGCCGAGAGTAACCCAGTCGTTGTCGACAACGCCCGTAAAATGCGCAACGATAATTGATTATTCAAGGACGCCGTTTCGAGTGGCGCGCCTGAAGATCAATACAGTGTGTGCCGATGAACACTGTTGCGAAATCGAATTGGAAATTACCCGCGCGAAAACGGGGCAACGGTCGCGGGGCGGTTCGGTTTCGTAAATGTACACCGAAAGATGGCGGGGCGAAATAACGAAATCTGCGGCGTGCCCGACGGTGCGGAGAAAACCGGGTAAACGCCGGACGCCGCGCCGTACGTTGAGAGTCCGCAGACGGGCGTACGCGCGACTTCGGGTACTTCGCACGGTAATAGTATTGGTTTCCGACCGTGCGTCAACGTCCGTAAATCGCCGCTGGACAACGGCCGATCGTCTGGGGGGCGGGTGCAGCGTCGCGCGGCGCATTTAGGCGCACGGGCCGGTCCCTCAGTACGGTCGCGACCGTACGAGGAATTCGGTCGGGAGGGGGGGTGGGTGGGGTACACCGGTGCGCCCGTACCCGTCGCGCGCGCGCGGTCTCCGGCGTGTTTACGGACCGCCGCGCGACGCGATGACCGACGACTCGCGCGCGCCACGACGCGGCCCCGATCGACGCGGGGTACTGCTGCGGTACGGGAAACGTAACGCCGCGGGCGCCCGATTAATAACGACAACGGCGGCGATAATATCATTGCGGTGTCCCGCAACAATCTCCGGGTCTCCTTTTGCCGTCAACGACGGCGATTTATTTCGCGAACTGCGCGCGCGACGGTTTTCATCGCGGCGTTCCGGCGGGCGCGTTCGACCCCGACCCGGCTCTGAATCGCGTTTCGGCAGCAAACGGTTCGCGCGCGTTAAATCGCTCTGCGCATCTTGCCGTCCCGACAACCCCGCCCGTATGACGGCGGCACGCCCGTCGGGCCGCGGCGGAATCCGGCCGTTTATCGCGACGTTTTCCATTTGTTCGCGGTGTTCGCGTTTGGACGACGACGGGCATTTTTCCCGACGTTTCCAGCGGCCGCGCGCGCCTATAATTGCGCCGTTAATACGGGCAGGTATCGCGGGATGCGCCTATACGTCGATTACGCGCGTCGCGGTACAGACATTATTGCGCGGCGCGTCTAGTGTCCATTGCGCCGGTGTTACGCGTATTATTATAATTATAGCGTGTCGGGAAGACGGGGAACAGCGAATAATATTATTACGTACGATTCGTGAGCACACGCCTATTGAGCGGTGTGCGGTTGAACGTCGAAAACCGCCCGCCGACGTTATTTTCGATAATTCCGATATTACCGGCGGGTGGAGGGTGGCAGGGGTAAACAAATTATTATTTGCATAATGTAGTCGACCAAACGTGTGCTGGTCCGAGTCGCCCACACCGTTCGTTTAACCGCGAAAAAACACGTCGAGAAAAAAAAATGACTTCCGCGACGCGGGTTGCCAACGAGACGCGCGTAAGTTGTGTTGCGTACGCATCCGACGAAAGGATTACGAACGTTTCGAACGTCCGTGTCATCATTCGCGTAGCTGAGTTTTTTTTCGATATCCTCAAACTGACGTTTTCAAATTGACGGTCGCTTGTTCGAATTATTCACAAATAAAATAATATCGGTGTTCTCTTCTCGACCCTCGTACAGGGAGGCTCCGGGGCTGCAGCCCCCCGCATGAGCTTGATAAGACGATGCTCAGCCGCCACGATTCTCGTATTATAAAAAAAAAAAAAATCAATATTTGTTACGTACATCCTCAAAATACTAATTTTATTTGTAACAAATTAATTGAGAAAAATAAACGTTTTTATTTGACATTGATAGCAGATAAAAATTGTAGATTTTGGTAATCAGTCAGATTCTTGGTTAGCAAATTTTTTTTGTTTTATCTATGCGCAACTTTTCTACCAGAAGACTTGCTCGGATTTCTACGCGCAGTACTTTTTCCGAAAGGAAATCGGTGTGGAAAGATACTTTAAGGTGGTCATCTTTTAGATTTTCCCTGGAGTTTTCTCATAAAATGCGAAAAACCGAACAAATAAACTGGGCAATTTACGAAATATAATAAATAAAATCTTACGACTTTTTTTTCTATGGACAACTTTTCTACCAGCAATTTCACTTCAACTTTTAATGATAGCAATGTTTCTAACAGGAGTTTCCCAAGAGTTTTCCCGGCAAATGTTAAAAACCGAGATAAAACATGGGAAATCGATTAAAGCTTAGGAAAACTGGGAAAATCGGTACAACATTAAACAAATATTATTAAAGAAAATACATAGAGCCTGTTTTATTATTTTACTATATTATGGCATATTTATTGTTGACAAAGCATTGCTATCAACCGAACTCCGCTCAGAATCGTTTTATCGTAAGCAATGGTTTATTGTTACGTACAGGTAAACAGTGAC